CCGCGCGCCACCGCGAGGGGGATGGGCTCGAAACGACCCGGGGGAAGCGAGTCGGCCGCTAGGGCGCAGCGCGGGATCTCACCGCCAGAGGCCTCCCAGCACAGGGCCGGTCCCGCGGCACACCCAGAACGACAGACTGGCCTCTCCGCCCACACACCCCACCCCCGCGCGGGGGAGGGGGGCGCACCCCTCACGGGGCCTCACGCCCACCGCCACCTACACCCAGAGCCGCAGCCGGCCCGGGAGAACGCTCTCGCGCCGCGTACCGGCGGCCCCCACAGCCCTCACACGCGCAACCCTGCTGTGCGCCGAAGGCTTCCCCCCGCCCGCCCCACTCCCCCTCAGGGCTCCGGGGGCACTGCGCCACCCGGGGCCGCCACCGGCCGACAGAGGCCGGGAGACGACACCCACGTGAGGCGAGGCCAGCTCGGTCCCAGACCGCGGGGGACGGGGGTGGGAGGGGACAAGGGGGTCGCACGCACGGGACGAGGAGGAAGGCCGGCAGCGGTGGACGCAGCAGGGGCCGCGGGACGGGGGCGAGGGCGCCGGCCCGGGGACCAGAAAACACCGGGACACAGCGGGCCACCAGGAAAACCAGCGCGGGATCCCACCGCCACCCACACACGAGGGCGGTCCTGCGACGCCTGGGACGCCGGCCGTTCCCGGCCATCCCTGGAGCGGGCCCCACAACCCGGCCCCGCCGCCAGGGCCGGCTTGCCGTCCAGCCACCTTCCTCCATCCGTCCATCCATCCATCCATCCACGACAGATCAATCTTCCATCCAAGTCTGACCCCGAGGCTCAACACCCTGGGGACACGCTCTCCAGCGAGGCGGCCCAGACCGGGCCCACAACACCGCCACCGGCTGCGGCTCCGGGGCGAGGGCGGGCGCGACAGGCTCCTCCCCCTCACCAAGGCTGCGGGGCTGGGGGAGCCGGGGCCCACCAGGCGTCGCGCCGCGACCACCCCCTTCCCCCTGGGCTCACACCACGGGGCGGCCTGGCGCACACAGCACACACGCACGGCCCCCCCACTCGCCAGACACCCGGCGGGGCCCAGCGGGACCCTCCCCCAACTCGGAGGGGGGAGGCGCAGGCCGCAGTAGGCAACAAGCGGCACACGGCCCCACCGCGGGGCCGGCGCACCCATCAGCCCGCTTCCCACGGAGGGGAGGGGAGCTTTCTGCCCACGTGCTCTGGCAGTCGCCGCGGTGGCCACTGCGCGCTCGGGAGGGGCAGCGGCTGGGGCTCCCTCTCGGATCGCTAGAGAAGGCTTTCTCACCGAGGGCGCGCCGTCTCTCCTTCGGGCAACACGGAGGCACACCGGGAGCCGCCAGTCCTCAACTGGGCGGGAGGGGTCTGCGGTACCGGTAAGCGGACGACCACGCACAGGAGCGCGTGCGCGGCCAGGGCCGGGGCAGAGCCCGCGCCCGCCCCCTGCAAGGCCTCATCGGGCAGCCTCCGCGACGAGGGGAGCACACAATGCTCTCACCGCCTCGACCCGCTCCCACCCAGAGAGAGCCGCTCATGGGACACACGCACAGCGCCGTGGCGGGGACCCGAGGAGGACACGGGGTTAAGGGAAAACGGCACCACCGCTCGGCCTCGAGCACCTGAGGGACGCCCTGGAGCACGCCAGGGCCACCGCCCAGGGTCCATCGAGGCACGCTCACACACCCGTGCGGGGGCGTGTGGCGTGGCAGCGGCACAGCCCTCCCCACCACGGGGAGGGCCGCTCGCGGGGCAACACGCCAGGAAGGCGAGCAGGCGCATCTGCTGTGTCCGAAGACCAACGGCCCCACCAGACACCCCAAGGCGGGGGACGGGAGACCGAAGGTCAGGGCCGGAGGCCCCACCCCAACACCCCCCAAGGGGCAAGGGGGAAAGACAGGCGAGGGGCCCCGCGGACAGACCGAGAAGAGCGGACCCGTTCACTGGGAACGCCCGTCCCTCGTCCGGCACGGCTTAGGCCCGGCCCGGGAGAGCACCACCACACCACATCGATCAGTTGAAGAACCCTGGATACTCTTATACACGTGTGTGGGCGTGCGCACGTCTCTGTGCACACGTGTGGGTGTGTTTGTGCGTGCAAGTGTGTCTGTGTAACTTTCCAAAGCTCATCTCGGCCACGCGTTCCTCTCTGTTGCACCTCACTGTCTCTCTGCCATCTCTGAGTATTGCTTCCCGTGTGAAAACTGTCAGCATCTAAGGACGTGCACCTCTGGAAATGCCTTCTTTCACACTCATTCTCTTTTGATCAAGTTACTTGAGAACACTTCCTATTTTGAATCAAGCAGGTGACTCAAGTACAAGGAGAGGAAAACACTTGTCAAGGTTAAGGGATCCAGGCCCCCAGGGCCCTCCTCTCTCAGGACCTGGCGGCTGTGAGGCTGAGGCACGGCCCACAGCGGGAGGCGGTACAGAACCTCCTGGAAGCTGGCGATGTGTTCTGCATGAAGCTCTGGCTTCCGCCCCTTGCAAGAACGCCTTTTCAGGGTCTCAGTCCGATCCGCCTTCATTTTTTTTTTTTCAGCTGAAATTTAGTTAGAATAAACTGTTTCAAATTGTACATTTCAGTAGGAAATACTTTTTAAATTTGACCTTCATTTTATCTATATGAAAGGTCAAGATACAGATGTTACTTTTGAATAGCCCACCTGTTGACAGCTGCGGCACACAGGCTCTCGGTTGCAGGGTGCGGGGTCTTTGGCCAAAGTGTGCCGCGTCTGGATCCCTGAGCCCTGATCGAACCCTAACCCTCAGTAAGGAGCGCCGAGTCTCAGTCACGGGCCCAGCAGGGCCGCCCTCGGGTGTCACGTGTACATCCATGTGCCCCAGCCCTCCCCAGGTCGGTTCTCCTCAGGAAAGGAGGCTCCGCTATTCATTTCTTCAGCCACTGCTGTCTGTCGTGAGCTTCTTCGCTTCTGACACTTAAGACAGACACCACACTGGCCCTCAGCACAGTCCCGCCTCTACTGAATTGCCTTTCTGCGCTCTCTGCTGCATTCCGGAACATTCCCTCAGTGCTATACTCCGACTTCACATGTGGCCGCTCAGCTGTCTGCTTGACTGCCTGACTTTTTTTAAAATGTTGAATCTACTGGATTGTTCACGTCAAAACTGTTCGACTCTTTTCAGTAACTGCCTGTTCTTCTACGAAATAATCCACATGCTTGCCTCCCTTTATGTTTCTGTGAGGATGGGTCCCTCTCTGTGTCCACACGGGTGGACCTCCCTCTGACCCCGAGATGATCCCCGCTGCCGGGGCCACACCGCCTACCTCTCCCCGCTTCGCTGTGGTTCCCTCTCCATTTGGGGAACTTCTCTTCTGCACTTGTCTGTGGTTTCGTGTTGCAGAAACACTCTCCGGAGCAGGTCTCAGCGTCAGGAGCAGAGGAGGCTCTGGGTGGGCACCACACTCGCCCCCTTGGGTGCAGTCTGAGCCAGGAGCCCATCACGTCCACCCTCTCCTGTCACCTCGTCTGGAAATTAACCGTGATGACGGCAGCAAGAGCCCACAGCCCCTCTGAGGGCTGGGGTTCGGATAACATGCAGAGGAGGAAGCTCAGGCGCAGAGAAAGGGCACCGTCGCTCAAGGTCCCATGAGCAGCGGGCACACGTTTATAGGAACATCTGTTCCCACCAGAGTGAGAGCTCTGACCCCAATCAACACCCCCGAAAGCCTGCAGGTGATGGCAAGACCGGAGGAGCCTGTGCCCAAGGACCCCGGGGCCCCGAGGAGGCAGGAAGCCCCCGGGGGCTTGTTCCCAGCAAGGCGGGCTGGACAGTGATGGGGTAAAGAGAGACGCCCCTGAAGGGGGCTGTGATGGGGGGCTCCCCACTCCAGGGCAGGGGAGGAGTCAGTTTCCATCCTGATTCCCTGCGCATCTCCTCTGGGCTCTCGGCCACGCGGACTCAACTGAGCCCCAGGGAGACGCTGAACGTGCGTCCCTCATAAAGGACAGACTTGTGGACACACCGGGGAAGGAGAGGGTGTGAGGAATAGAGTAGCATGGAAACACACACAGCACGTGTGAAACACACCGCCGGGGGACGTGCCGTGTGACTCAGGAGCCCACACAGGCTTCTGTGACAGCCTAGGGGGGGTTCAAGAGGGAGGGCCACGCGACACATATGGCCCATCCATGTTGATGTGTGGCAGAACGAGCACCATACTGTGAAGGAACCATCCTCCAATTAAAAAACGATGTGTCTCTGGGGATCTCAGCCCCAAGGGCAGCAGGAGCCGGCATCCTCCCCGAAGCATCTCCAGGGCCTGGTGACCCGGCCACAGTGAGGAACCCCAGGGACCTGCTGATGGAGGGGCAGAGGAGGAAGCAGACCCCGAGGCGAGGCTTGCAGAGGGAAGGAGCCTGGCCGTCCTCATCTGGAAGGGGCGTCTCAGGAACACACTGGGACTGTCATGGGGACGACACCAGGCTTTCAAGAAGAGGCTGTTCCCCTTCCTGCGGGGAGGCTGATATGACAACCGCGTGACAGGAAGCCCCAGCCTTGGAGAGGACACACCCTGTGCTCTGTCTCTCTGGAGGACACCCAGGTCTCCTCCATCCTCACGGCCTGGACCGCAGGGAGGAGACGCCATGGCCCCCACCCTCCCCGCCCTGCTCTGCCTCGGTGAGATGAGGAGGGGCAGGGGGAGCCCTGGACTGGAGGGACCCCCCACCCAGCCAGCCTGCTCCATCAGGGGACCCCAGGGCCCAGGAGGCTCCCGGGGACGAGAGGAGCTGCTCAGAGCTGAGGGCAGACCTCTCACAGGGCTCTCTCTTCCAGGGCTGAGTGTGGGCCTGAGGACCCAGGTGCAGGCTGGTGAGTCTGTCCCCAGGGCCCAGCTCTCTCCTCTCTTGGGGACAAGGGTCACCCCGAGGCCCTGAGGAGGGGAGGGCAGCTCAGGGCTCATAGAGGGGGAGTCTGGGAGGTCTGGGCTGAGAGCCAGGGCCTGGGGGCAGACCCCTGGTGAGCCCGCCTCTGATTTCCTTCCAGGGGCTCCCCCCAAACCCACCATCTGGGCTGAGCCGGGCTCTGTGGTCCCCTGGGGGAGCCCCGTGACCATCTGGTGTCAGGGGCCCCTAGAGGCCCAGGAGTTCCATCTGGATAAAGAGGGAAGCTCAGTCCCCTGGGACAGACAGAAACCCCTGGAGCCCGGGGACAAGGCCAAGTTCTCCATCTCACTGATGACTGAGCAGCACACAGGGCGCTATTGGTGCTACTATCTCAGGGGAATTCGCTGGTCAGAGCTCAGTGACCCCCTGGAGCTGGTGGTGACAGGTGAGAGACTCTCGGGGGCCTCAGGCTCTGCCCTCGGGAGGGGGTCTGCTCTCAGGGGGTGTCCCTCTCACAGCCCAGCCCTGGGCGGGGGGTGGAGGGGAGTCCTAGGGATCCAGCTGCCTCCTTCTCTCCTAGGACCTTACAACAAACCCAGCCTCTCAGCCCTGCCGAGCCCTGTGGTGACCTCGGGAGGGAACGTGACCCTGCAGTGTGGCTCCCGTCAGGGATTTAACAGGTTCCTTCTGACCAAGGAAGGAGAAAATGAGTCCTCTCAGACTCTGGATGGACAGCGGAGCCCGAACGGGCAGACCCAGGCCCTGTTCCCCGTGGGCCCCGTGAGCCCCGGACACGGGTGGACGTTCAGATGCTACGGCCTTAACAGGGACACCCCCTGGGTGTGGTCAGCCCCCAGCGACCCCCTGAAGTTCCTGGTCTCAGGTGAGGAAGTCCCGACCTGACCCCACATTTGTGCAGACAAGACAACGTCCTGGGGTCTCTGCTCCCAGGGGAGCCCCGTGAGGAGGAGAGAGAGCGTGGTGGTCACAGGACAGACACACAGACAGAGAAGGCGAGGCCTGGGGCTGGGCCGGGAAGGGTGTCCACGGGGGACGCGGTCCCAACAACCTGGCATCTGTCTCTCCCCAGGGCTGTCTGGGAAGCCGTCCCTCCTGACCCCGCAGGGCCCTGTCGTCACCTCTGGACAGAACCTGACCCTTCAGTGTCGCTCTGACATGGACTACGCCAGATTCGCTCTGTCCAAGGAGGGGGGACAGGACCTCCCCCAGCGACCTGCCCGGAGGGCCCAGGGGGGGCTCTCTCAGGCCGACTTCCCCCTGGGCCCGGTGGGCACCGTCCATGGGGGCCGGTACAGATGCTACGGTGGACACGGCCTCTCCTCCGAGTGGTCGGCCCCCAGTGACCCCCTGGAGCTCCTGGTGGCAGGTGAGGGGCCAGCGGGTCAGTCGGGGGCCAGACTCTGCACAGGCCCCACCGGGGAGCCCCAGGGGTGATGCTGGGACCAGGGGGAGGGGTCCCAGGGAGGGGACAGAGAGATGGGGTGGGGGAGGGGGAGACTCGGAGAAACAGACGGCGCTGAGGGTCCAGAGAGGCAGCGGAGTCCCGCTCAGAACCAGGGCCGGGCCCGCACCCCCTTCCTCTCTGCAGGATGGCTCAGAGACAGACCCTCCCTCTCAGCACGGCCGGGCCCCTCGGTGGCCCCGGGGGAGAACGTGACCCTGCTGTGTCAGTCAGGAGACGGGACGGACACCTTCCTTCTGTCCCAGGAGGGAGCAGCCCATCACCCCCTGCATCTGCGCGCCCAGGATCAAGGCGGGCGGTTCCAGGCCGAGTTCTCCTTGAGTCCTGTGAGCTCGGCCCACGGGGGCACCTACAGGTGCTACCGCGCACTCAGCACAGAGCCCCACCTGCTGTCACGGCCCAGCGAGCCCCTGGCGCTCCTGGTCTCAGGTGAGGCCCGTCTGTCCGTCTGACTCAGCAGCTCGGGGCTCTGTGCCCTGGGAGGCCCCGGAGGTCCTGGAGGAGGGGGTGCTGAGGGAGGGGTCCCCTGAGGGAGGGGCCTCGGAGCTCACACCCCACCCCTTCCTCACGCACTGGGGTCCGGGACGGTCTCGGGGAGGCCACAGGCCCGTGCAGGGCAGAGGGCAGTGAGGTGGGGTCCCCGGGTCAGCCCAGCCCACCCCTTCCTGGGCTCATTCCCAGGACCCATGGGCCCAGCCCCCACCCTCGGGCCCCAATTCAACAACTGGGGAGTCACAGGGCTCAGTGCTCAAGGGAGACAGCCCACCCCAGGGCGCTTTGAGATTGTCTGGGGGCACAAGGCCCCTCAGATCGTCATGGGCCGGAGGGGAGTCGGGCAGAGATGCCGCGGGAGCCACAGGCTGGAGGGGCCTGAGGCTGCGGGATGGGGGTCAGTCTGGGGAGGAGCAGGCCCGCCCCCACCCCATCCTGCCCCCGGGAGGCTCCCCGAGGAGGACACGGCCCACCCACAGCCTCCCTTCAGGACCCTCGGGCCCCCGACACCCTCCCCCATCACCGCGGTCAGACCCAGAGTGAGGACGGGGACAGCGTCCCCGTCAGGGGCTGGGCTCGGGGCCGCGTCCTCTCCCGAGAGGCAGGTGCTTGTGCCGGCGCTGACCTGTGCGCCCTCACCCCAGACTACACGGTGCAGAATCTCATCCGGATGGGCTTCGCGGCCTCAGTCCTGCTGCTCCTCGGGGTCCTGCTCTGCCAGGCTCGGCACGACCGTGGAGGAGCCCGAGACGCGGCCCGGAACTGAGCACAGGGCCCCTCGACACCTTCCAGAGCACCCCAGCCCCCGACACGAGCGTCCAGCCCGGGAGATTCAGAAAGAGCCTCTGACCCCGGGGGGGAAGACGCTCCGCGGAGGCAGGAGGAGGCCCAGGCGTCCCGGGGAGGGGGACCTGGGGGCTCGGCCTCCACTCACGGGGCTTCCCCCCTCCCTCCCGGGGAGGACGCCCCAACTCCCGGCTCCTCCCACTCCCGGCCGGAGGTGCATCCCAGTGGCAGGGGCGGGTCCTCACCCTGCAGGCCCTCAGGCTCTGTCCGCTATCCTGGACGATGTGAGCCTCATTGTTCATGCCCGCCGTCTCTGGTGTGCGCAATGACCTCCATCCCTTCTCAGAAACAGAACGTCGTTTAAGTAACTGAATAAATGGGTGTAAGCGGGGCCCCGTTTGGAACAGATGGATCCAGATTCTTCCCTGAACCCCCTGGGCCCCTGACACCCTCCTCTCCTCATCAGATGACACCCGTGTAGTTTCTCCAGAAACACTGTCAGTGCGATGGGATCCCTGGCGCTAGAAGTGACAGTCAGGGCTACGCTGGTAAATGAGCTCAGGAATATATCGTTTTGTAAAGAGTGCTGATATGGGGTTTCCCTGGTGGTGAAGAATCTGGCAGCCAACGCAGGAGACGCAGGTTCAATCCGTGATCCTGGGGGATCCCACGTGCCAAGGGGCAACTGGGTCCGTGAGCCGCAGTGACTGAGGCTGGCACGTCCTGGAGCCCGCGCGCAGCCAGAGAGGCCAGTGTTGCAGATGCCCAGATGCCTCAGCGAGGGAGCAGCCCCGCTCATCACAACCAGACACACCCCTGTGCACACAGACCCAGCACAGAAACAATCATCAGGCAATAAATTCTTAAAGAGCCCAGGCGTGTGAACTGTGTGTCTGCTTTGGTGCAAACGCTCTCCGTGGCCAACCTCCAGGAGCCCGGGTGAATGGGCTAAATGCCGGGTGGGAAGGAAGGAGCAGGCTGGCTTTCCCAGAGGAGCGAGTCTGGTCCACCCACCCCCACCGATGGCCCCACATGCACAGATGTGTCCTTTGCAGTACACGTCACATAGGATGGTCTCCACCTCAGTTTCATGCCCCAGGTTCCCTGAGATGAGATGCCCACCTCCTAGTTCATCTGTGAGAGAGGGGAGGAGAAAACGATGGAGGAGACAAGGCTGACTCTGACGAATCCCGCATATCACGGGCAGGTGTACTCATCACCCTGCTCAACCTAGAGAGTCGGCAGCAATTCTCAGTGAAAAGCAGAGACACAGCACTGGTCCACACTTGCATAACCTAGAGGAAGATGCGTGCACAGCCACGAGGGTGCAAGCAGAATGTGGACACGTGGGTTGTTCCCAGTAGAAAAGATTGCAGAAATCACTTTCACCAAAATGAATGGTTTGGTGTATATATCTGCAACAGAATTTTAAACAAAAAATTCAAAAAGGTGGACTGCTAGAGTAACACAGGTCAGTTTTCAAGCATAATGGTGAATAACTGAAATAAAACTGTAGGAGTCCATCCCATCACATCAAATTCAAAAGGCAACAACATGGAACTCAAATAAATAAAATAAGAAATGAAACAGGAGGAACAACAGCTGCTACCAGGTTGCCCTGGTGGCTTGGTGGGTACGAATCCAGCCGCCAATGCAGGGGACGTGGGTTCCACCCGGGCTGGGAAAAGATCCCACACAGGCCGCAAATGCTGAGCTCGCGGGCCCAGAGCCCAGCCCTGCGACAAGACACACCATCAAAACGAGGAGCCCAGGCACCGCAGCGAAGAGAAAAGCTGCGCTGAGCTCAGCACGACGTGGGAAAAGCCCCTGGGCCGCAGGAAGACCCAGCACTGTCCTCTTTCGCTCAGGCGTGTCCAACTCTCTGCGGCCCCATGGACTGTAGGCTGCCAGGCTCCTATGTCCGATTCTCCAGGCGAGAATACTGCAGTGGGTTCCCATGCCATCCTCCAGGGGATCTTCCCCAACCAGGGATCGAACCCAGGTTTCTCACATTGCAGCAGATTCTTGACCATCTGAGCCACCAAGGAAGTCCTGCACAGCCAAAACTAATTAATAATTAAGTTTTAAAAATTGATACCTCAGAAATACAAAAGTTTATGAGAGAGTACTACGAACCACTGTGTGTTGACCAATCTGACAGCAAACCTAGAAGAGATGCAGGCGTCTCTAGAGACACAAGCCTGCCAGAACTGAGTCAAGAAGACGTAGACAGCCTGAACAGAGCGGCCACGGGAAGTGACACAGAATCTGTAACATACCAATAAAAACTCCGTGCAAACCAAAGGCCAGAGCTGGGTGGCTGCATGGAGGAGTTCCACCAAACTGACAAAGAGGAGCTTATACTGGCCCTCTTCAAACTCTTCCAGGAGACTGAAGGGGAGGAAACACTCCCAAAGTCATTCTATGAAGCCACCGTCACCCTGATACCTACACCAGACAAAGACACAACCAAAAAAGAAAGGTTACAGAACAAAGCTGTTTATGAAAATACATGTAAAACGCACAACAACATATTAGCTAACCAAATTCAACAACACACAGAAAGAATCACACACCATGATCAACTTGGATTCATACCAGGGTCACAAGGATAATTCAACATATGCAAATCGATCAATGTGAATCAACACATCAACAAGAGAAAAGACAAAACAACATGCTCGTCCTAAAAGGTTCAGGGAAAGCATTGATAAAATTCAACATCCATTCTTCATAAAAACTCACAAAGTGAGTACAGAGGGAAGACATCTCAATGTAATAAAAGCTATTTATGACAAGCACAGTCATCACAGTACTCAAAGAAAAAAGCTAAAAGCCTTTCTAAACCTCTGGGACAAGACAAGGACGCCCACTCTCATCATTTGTGTTCAACATACTACGGGAAGTCCAGTCACAGCAATCAGACAAGAAGAAACAAGGATGCAACTTGGCGGCAGGAAAGAGGCAAAACCGCCCCGTATGCAGAGGACATGACACTCCATTTACAAAGCACTAAAGAGCGCAGGCACAAGCTGTCAGAACTGAGGGAGGGAGCACGCCAGTCTGCGGAGTGGGGCAGGCGGTGTGGTCTGGGTCTGCAGTCTCTGCGTGTGTGTGTGTGTGTGTGTACTCAGTCGTGTCCAACTCTGTGAGACTCCACGGGCAGTAGCGCGTCAGGCCCCTCTGTCCATGGGCTTCTTCAGGCAAGAACAGTGAGGTGGGTTGCCACTTCCTTCTCCAGGGCATCTTCCCAACCCAGGGATCGACCCACATCTCCTGCGCTGGCAGGCAGATTCTTTACCCCTGAGCCGCCTGGGAGGCCCGCGTGCAGCCTACCATCACTGCATTTCCCTCAACAGAAACGGCGCCAGACGCCTGCCTACTCTTCTCGTTCCTTCCCTGTGTGTGCATGCGGGCTGTCAGGACTTCCCAGCTGGCACTGCTGGTGAGGAACCCGCCTGCTGGTGCAGGAGACATGACAGAGCTGGGTTCCGTCCCAGGGTGGGGACGATCCCCTGCAGGTGGGCGTGGCAACCCCCTCCAGCATTCCTGCCTGGAGAGTCCCAAGGACAGAGGAGCCTGACGGGCTGCAGTCCACGGGGTCGCAGAGAGGCGGACACGGCTGAGCGACGTAGCACACATACGAGTTAACTATCGTTTCTATTTTCCATTTCTGGCCTCACTATGACACATTTCAGAAATTTTAATCAGCGCTTTACGCAAGATGGCAGATCGGGAACTCCCAGCCCTCATCTCGCACAGACACACTCATAAACCGGGATTATTTGGGCCAAAAGACTTTTATGTAAACTGCAGAATCCAGCTAGTGAGCTGCAACATATCGGATGAGCAGAAAACCAAGAAGAACCACTTCGAAAGGATAAACAGAGCTGGTTCTGTGTCCCGGTCTCCCCTCCAGCAAGCAGAGCTCAGCGCTGAGAGGACCCCCCTGGGCCCAGGCCCCATCCACCCTGGGAGGACAGTGGGTGCAGCCACAGCACGTCCCCAGGCTCCGCGGCACTGCAGACCTCAGGCCTCAGAGACCGCCTCACTGCTCAGCTCATGAGTGCTCCAGGCCGCAGACACGCATGGGGCTGCAAAGCAGGAAGAGAAGGGACGGGGCTCTGCGCGGCCAGCTCGGCCTCGGGGGTTAGAGGAGGACGGGGTCCTCAGACTTCTCCCTCAGGGCAGGGGCACGATGCGGCGGGGGCACACCATCGTCTCCCCAGACGGGAGGGCCAGAGACCCGCAGGTCCACAGAAGACGTCTCCGAGGCTCCAGCATCCCTAACTGGGCTGGGGCAAAATCCCACCATAAGTCCGAGAGGAGGCAGTTGCTTCTCCCAGCGCACAGACACCAAAGCAGAGCCACAGAAACATCGAGAACCGGGAACCGTGACTCTGCCCAAGGCCGCAGAGACTGCTAGAAATCGGGAGATCTGAGAGCTCCCTTATTATGGAAAACAATTGTCCCAAAGCAGCTCAGTGAACTGATCTTCCACAAGGTGCCCAGAATCAGAACGGGAACGGACAGTGAATTCAAGAAACGGTGCTGGAAGAGCGAGATGACAGCAGGCAGGAGGGGGAAGCTGGACCCTCAGCTCACACTACATGTGAAATCATCTCAAAACGCAACAGAGACTTAAACACAGGGCCTCAAACCATGAAAGAACCAGAAGAAAACACAGGGGGGTCATCGTGACATGGGTGTGGACAAGCCTTCTGTGGATATGGCAGCAAAGACAGAGACAGACCCGGGGGGTCGGCAAATAAAACCTCCTGCCAGCACAGGAGACGGTCACAGGAAAGGCAATGGATGCAACGGAGAAGACGTGTGCAAACCACACGTCTGATAAGGGGCTACTTCTCCAATACACAAGGAGCTCACTCAACTCAATGCAAAGTAACAACCACCCGGTGTTTAAACGGGCAAAGGACCTGAACATGTGTGTCTCAAAAGACGATGCCCAGACGACCAAAC